TGATCCCAGTGGAGTATTAAAGCCCACAACCTAGTACAATGCCGTACTAGGACACACAGCCCTTCCAGGAAAATATCAACGGTGAATCCAACCATAAAATTTAAAAGGTCTCCTTGAATGTATGTGGTTGGAACAAATATAAATGCACCCTTAGGACATACAGATAATTATTCAAAAAGAGAATAACATTGCTTGTGTACGAGAATCCCATCAATTTAATACACGGATGGCGCTTCAGACAATAGGATAACCTCACTTGTATTTCGCATACAGTGTTGCCTGTACTTTCATTCGCTTTAATGCGTTTCATTTACAAGAGTTCGGCCCTAATTATCAGTCAACCCTGAATGATATTTACTCGAACTAGTACACCAAATATACTTGAAAAAGACAAAAAAAATTAATAAATAAAAAGAAAGAAAGAAAATAATATTATTGAAATATTTTCACGTGAAGTGTTACAGAAATTTGATATATTGTCATTTTGTGATCACTCATTTCATATTTTTTTTGTCTGCAAATTGAAAAATACACCTTAAGCTATTAATAACATAAAGGTTACATTTATTTGTATAACACAGATAGTCTAAATGCGTAAATTTATATTATAAAACGGGTCACGTACTTTTTTTACCATTACAAATTTTAGAATCTTCTGATGGGTGACGACACGGCAATGGTCAAAGCTTGTGTCATGCCTTTGTCTTGACATAGCTTTGTTTGGTTTACTGGTAATGGTCCAGCGGAGGGAAATGGCTTAAGCAAGAAAAACCTGTGTGACAAGAATGGTTGTCCGCTAGAAACAGCAGTCCGTTCTCCGTTACTTAGTACAGGTGACATTCGTCCCTTATACTTACCCCAATACTCCCACTAACCCTAACCTGTGCTAATCATACGTAAGACCCCGGACTTCCATTCCTAGGACACACCGGCCCCAACTGACTTAGGGTGCATTCCCAGAGATTTAGATCGATCTAGAGATTTAGATTTAGATCGACCTAACTCCCTGGGGGTTCACGCTAAATTGCAGTCAGCCGAGCGGGCACCATAGTTAATTACCCCCTTACAGCTTTTAGTAGGCGGGACAGACGCTTAAGCCGGCTAAGCTGACAGTAATCTGGTGAGACTCCCCACAGGGATAGATCGATCTAAAATCTATGGGAATGGGATCTTAGACTGGATTCCCATCCCTAGATCGATCTAACAGGATCGGTCCATCTCTGCGGGGTGTCTCGCTAAATTGCTTTCAGGTTAAGTGTCTTAGATGGCTGGGACGCCTTCTAAAGCTGCTAAACGATAGTTAATTACCCCTATCAGCTTCAGTAGGCGTGATAGACATCTAAGCCGCTTACGTTAATTGCAATGAAGCGAGAAGATAGTTGGATCCAAAGTAAGTACGATAGAGTCTGGGAATGGTCTCTTAGGGAGCATTACTATAAACCCATCGTACTAGTTGGTTCGATTTAACTCTGCGGGGATTCTAGCTAAATTGCATTCAGTATGAAGGGCTTAAATATCTGGTACGTCTACTCAAGCTGGTAGTGGGTAATTAATGATGGTCAATTACCACAAGTAACTCAAGGGGGCGTGCCAGACAATTAAGCTGATTACATTGAAAGCACTTTAGCGAGAAACGCCGCAGAGTTAGATCCAGTTACTATAATGGGATTATGGGAACGCAGTCTTACGCTTAGCATTGTCCCGTATGGTGTTCAACCTGTAATTATATCTTAGGGACCATTCCCACAGGTATTTGGATCGCTCTATCTCCCTGGGGAGTCTCACTAAATTGTAATCAACACAACCGGCTTATATGTCTGTCATGCCCATGCTAAAGCAGTTAAGGGGTAATTATCTAAATACCACTAACTGATTCGGTGGGCGTGACAGACATTCAAGCAGGTTAGTTGATAGCGATTTAGACCCCATTCCCACAGATTTTAGATCGATCTATCCCTGTGGGGAGTCTCACTAGATTACTGTCAGCTTAGCCGGCTTAAGCGTCTGTCCCGTAAGGGGGTAATTAACTATGGTGCGCGCTCGGCTGACTGCAATTTAGCGTGAAACCCCAGGGAGTTAGGTCGATCTTAATCTAAATCTCTGGGAATGCACCCTTAGTGAGACTCCAGGGAGTAAGACCGATCCAGATGGATCAATCTAGGCATGGGAACCCAGTCTTAGGGTTGGTGCGTACCTGTACTTATGGAAAGAATCTCCTTACGGACTTTCCCCACTTCAGACGTGCAATGCACTGTATATATAGGTCCACTCGCTTTGTCTGCTTTTCCAAAAATTGTGGATTTACCGAACTTGATAACACATATAGCCCAAAATTTTCACAGGAAACGGGCTTTTTTGACTCTTTTGCCTACAGAAAAAAAACTTTTCCTCTAGAATTTTAAAAAAGTTATTAACTTGCCTACCTTACTAGTACTCACCGGTTGGTGGTTTTCAAAAAACATTCTGACTCTTCCAGAAATGATACATAGGACTATCCCAACGACCAGCCCGGCAATTAAATCAGCGCTCAACCTCATGTTATTTCGTCTGGTACACAATTATTACTCTGAGCTCTAGGGCATGTGCGCATCAGATTTAATACTAAGCACAGTATACTAGTATATTAAACACGGCGTAGGATAACAGTTATATAGGGCAACTGGTTAGAAAAACTTAACGTCATGTGAGTTATTTGTGACATTTCAATGAGTCCGCGTCACTAAGTAGTGCGATTTCACGACATCTGCGATAGCTAACCTAAAAACTCGTCCTTACAAATAAACCCTTTCCAAAACAAACCGGGATTATTTGAGTTTTCTTTTTGTATAGACACTAGGAAAAGAAACGCTATAACTCCCGATTTTAAAGAATGGCTGAAATATGAACAGTACCATGGCCCATAGGAGCCTACGCGTGCGACGCCCCTTAACATGCGAAAACGACATGCACCGTGCCTATTTCGTATGTTATTAATAACTATAGCAGCGGAATTGACAAGACCCATGCCGCATTCGTCTTTAACTATAGAGCTTTGAGCCCAAAAAATGACATGGCTGTTTCTGTTTCGCCACTAACTGAACTCCATAGATGCGAGATTGACACGACCCATGTCGCGTGTCTCTTACTGTGGATATTTGAGCTTCAAATGGCTATGTTATAAAAGGCAATCTTGCATTTATTGGAGCCAGCAAGTTACGAAATCAGCATGACTATGTCAATTTCGTGTTTTATAAGATGCAGAGTATAAGACAAAAGCAGCGTGGGTCTGGACAATTTCGCATCTATGGGCCTCAGTGAATGACGAACCGGACATAAACGTGTGAATTTCGAGTTTTATAACATAGCCATTTCAAGCTTAAAGAGACAAACGCCACATGGGTTGTGTCAATCTCACATCTGTGCAGTTCAGTAAGTGGCGAAACAGACTCAGCCTTGTCATTTTCGGGTCTCAAAGCTCAGTAGTAAAAGACGAACGCGGCATAGGCCTTGTCAGTTCTGCTGTTATAGGGATTAATTACATACGAAATAGGCACGGTGCATGTCGTTTTCGTATGTTAAGGGGCGTCTAAAAGACGCACGCGTAGGCTCCTATGGGCCATGGTAGAACAATGTTGTACAGGGCGACCCCGTACAAAAAGGATCCCTTTATTATTATATCATATCGTACAAAGTCATTTTGATAGGGCCAATGTGCAATGCATATGCCCTTAACTATCGCAATTTATTTGTGTAAAGTCCTTGGCGGAGGTCTGCGCTCTCCGGGTGCTTTTCTAGTTATTGTTATTATTATTATCAAGTTAGAAGAATGGGAATGATAATTCCCTCATGAGCAGCAGATTTATTTTACATGTGTGTCTTCCTTATATTAACAATAAACTACAAAGTATCAGCCGAAACACTAGTAGGTCCATTCGAATGTATAGAGTTAAGGTCAGATACGGCAAAGTTATCCTTGGTCACCATAGCGACCCACCTTATCCACTGACACTTTTTTATCGCTTCTCGTTTACAAAATTCGTATTGACAAAATGTATATTTATAAAAGCGTGAACGAGGCGCTTCGTTTGAGGAGAAATTCTCCTGCACCAAGGATTAAATTGGTACGATGAAAAGAATATTTTGAATCCAGTGTTCTTCAAGTCCTTGATAAGCTGCATCTGTTCCATCGTAGGTATAACACGACTGTTAAACGGTGTGTGGAGCTCAGCGGCCATCTGCTTTACTTTCAGTATACTTCTATCTTCTATCATGGTCTTTATAGCAGACCACTCCGACATTTCGATGTCAAATTTCAGAAAGTCTATAGTTCTCTGAAACAGTTTTAAGATATTTCATGAGTTAAATTGGATATGGTTCCCACATTTTAATATCGAAATTCTTTTTTTTTTAAAGTAATTGACCACAAACAGTAATCGCCAACAATAATTACACTTTCTTAGCAATTTATCCACTCTCATAATTTATTTTTCCTGTTTGAAAAGAATATAACACATAATTTACAAGGGTGTATGGATTCCGCTGTAACTGAATTGATGCGGTGGCACTAAATGAATGAGCCCTTATACTTACCTTAGTGTGACCAAGCAACTGCATAATAGTACTGAGTTTTTTCACTGGAAATTTGCGCCTACCCATACGCTTCAATCCATCGGAACCACTTAAACCCAAATTATGAAAAAAATTAAGTGGCTTTCTCTGGTAGTCTTCTTTTCCAATTCTACAGAAGGTAAAAATATTTGCGATTAGATGAGATGCTTTTGTTTATTTTTACTTACCAAATGAAAGTACGCCCACTATATGACAATAGTTCTATTGGTTTTACCTTTCGTTGACGTGAAATGAAATAATTTAGATATATAACAAGAATTCAAAAAATAAGTCATAGGCTCAACCGCAAATTGTTTATATAACGTATATGTTTTTAGTTTGTTTTCTCTTTCTCTTTTTTATATTAATAAATATAGATTTTTCATAGCAATATATATAATGACTCTACTTACGTTGGATCAAAAGAATGCACTTCGCAGCCCTTTTTCACCATATAATCATCGTAAGACCAGTCATCCTTTATCCTAAAAACATCATCGCCATCAGTATAATCATTCTTATTCTTATTATTATTATCATTATCATTATTTATTATTATACAGGAATATACGCATTTCTGTCTAATGCAGAATCGTCAAATTTATTGTTTTGTTCCCAAAAGAGTACATTGATTTGTCGCAGCATTAAAGCATGGACCTAACTAACTCTAGTTAGGTCCATGACTAAAGTAATGCAATTCAAGTTTGTGGCGGAGTGTTTTATTTTGCGTTTCACTAAGGATCTATAAGGCTGCCTCATATATACTGCCTGACCCCAGGGGTCAACACTGTTCTGTTACACAAATGCTGAATAGCCGCTGCGATATTTCAGAATACAGGTATCAAGCATCAGTTTAAGAAAACGTTTTATGCTTCTGCTATAGAAACCAAGCCTTAGTAGATATACTAAGCAGATATACCCAAAAGAGTAGACCAGGCACTGGTTTCTCTTGATGTTAAACGGCGGGTCCAAGCATACTTCCCAGCCGCCTTCGTCTATGTTCCCAGCACGTACCCGTTCACGGCAGTCGTACTGTTGGGTAACGATATATCTGAAAATGGTAATATTGAACATTAAAAAAATACTATACTCCTTTGAGTTTCTTGATAGGAAGGGGATACTTTCCTCAGTATTGCATCGTGTTATTTATAAATAATACAATATACCCACACTGAAATACTACCTCTATATGAAAGCCGTCTTTCAACCAATAAGTCTTCTAAAAAAGAAATATAGGCGCTAAACATTTGAATAGTAAGACGCATAGATTGCAATATTCTCAACGGATTTTTTTGATAGAGTGTGTTTTGTTGATAATGGTAAAAATGCCGAATTTTTTAAGGTTTTTTTTTTTTTTTTTTTTTTTGTAAAGCGTGCATTGTAAGCCTTTAAACAACTAAACAGTGGCCTAAGCAACAGTCAAATCAATCGATTAAAGTGTTTAAGTACATAAGCTTTATCGATCGATAAATCAATCAATCAATCAATCAATTGGACCTATACAGCAGATCAACACGTTTATCATGTACAGGAACTTCAATGCAGCGGTAATCTATGACATTCTGGCAGATAGGCCTATAGAAACAAGTTAATGTCACTGTACCTGAGATAGTCCATTTCTAATATATCATACTCCTTCTTCGTCATACCATTATAGACGGTCGTCTCTCTGTCATCTACAGGTAGTTGTAAATATACAAAGTCGTTATCTTTGTCCAGTTCCACAAAGAAAGGATGGGTGTATCTTGATTTTGTTTTGACTGCTTTGATTGACGGTTGTGGCTGGCGTTGTAATAGCTAGAAATGAATTCAAGCCATGAGTTTATGCCATGCACCCATACAGTGGGGAGCAAAATGTTCTTAAACATTTAAGCTGGCCAAGTTGATAGCAATTTAGTGAGACTCTCCAGGGAGATAGATAGATCGACCCAAATATCTGTGGGAATGGTCTCTTACATTTATGAAATACCAGAGCTAAAAAATTGGATCCATAGTGAGTTAAGTAAGGATTATGGCAAACCAAAACAATCTGAATTGAGAGCCACAAAGGATGCAATGGAAAAATACTGTGCAATCTTAAAAACTTGTTATAAACAAAAAAGTAGACATCCCTTTCTTTGATGATAAGATACCATAAGGAATGAGAATAAAATTTTTGTTGTATAATATTTGGTTAAGTAATTAAATGAAAGGTATTGCATGGAATATATTCCACTGCACGGTATATAAATAAATGAACATCATACAGTATTTTAAAATCTGACATTTATTCAATGCCTTTGGTGCCTTTGATGATATCTTAAAGTTACTGACAAGAGTTATGATCGTCAAAACAGCGAAACTGATTTATTCGTGCATTGTATTATTCAATAATGCATCTGCCGTTTTTCTGAATGAAAGCAATAAAAGCACCATGAATATATAAAATATAGGCGCTTAGCATAAGGATAGGCATCTCGGCGCGATAATTGTCAACTATACAGCTTTCTATGTAACTTCGTCCCTGCAAGAGATTTCATCATAAAATTTTGCATAGGTGTATGAGGTTTGATCCTGTGCCGTCATTTTGGTTTAAATGTTTTTGTCATGGAGTCATGAGCCCGTAATAACAATGCTTCATTAAACAAAGGTATTGTTTTTCCTTATTTTAAAACGATAAAATCTAAGGTTTTAAAGAAAAAATGCTGGCAGGGTTTTGAAGTACTTAATGATGTCATAAAATTGGCTTTAAACGGTTTTTGCAGGTGCTCAGGCAAAAGGGAAATTTGAAAAATCTATTTTTTAGCCCAAAATCACAATTATAACGTCATCGGTAAAATGACGTTCGAGTAAATGCAAAAGAATTAATAAGATAATTATGTTACATTATCGGACTACCCTTTTCAGACCAAGTAATACTAAAATCTAATTTTGTTACTCCTAACAAAATGCTTTTCAGTCAACCCCATCCAGTTTCATGTTTAAAAAAAGATACAGAGCATATAAATTGAGCAATATACGGGCCTGTACATTGATGCGGTATTATTTTCAAATCACATTATCGCTATCTATTCACTCACTTATTCATTTACCGCTTCTATTTTCTCTAACTCCATTTTAGTACTATCATTTACATTACTTTAAGGGCAACTGCATGGGATTTACCCGCCAAAATGGATTTCCCCAGGGAAATAAGTAATTTTCTTGCACTAACGAATATTTATCAATCCCTTTCTGCACTTGGGTTCAACCTTTAATTAAATTTATAAAGGTTGATTTAGTGTCAAATGACTGGCCAGTCACCGTCGACCATTTTTCCTAAGTTCCAATGGAAGTATCAACAACATGTACACTCCAGAGAAAATCAGAGGTTTATCGTTTTTAAGGTGTATTTAAGGTTTTACAAGAAGCTTTGGATGGCAAAAATAAACATTTGGTGGACATTCATGGACAACCATGGAGTGTACCTTTAATTCATTTAATTGCTTATATGCATCATTATACAGTATTTGATAGAATAATTAACACTGACACAATACTCACCGTCGGATTGTTTTCAAGTAACGTTCTTAATTCTCCAAAAATAAGAAACAGGACTATCCCAGCGACCACCCCGGCAATAAAATCAGCGTTCAATCTCATGTTATTTCGTCTGGTACACAATTATCACTCTGAGTTCTAGGGCATGTGTGTGTGTGTGTGTGTGTGTGTGTCAGATGAAATATCCACATGCGTATTAAACAAAGTTACGGGTGATCAATTATTCAAACAGCACGGTTAAGATTATTCGAAACGAATGCATCTCACTAGATAACTATCAGCTTATATGACCGGCTTAAATGTCTGTCCTGTCTACTAACATTTTACTTGCCACTGATGCATGGGAGAGGGTATATAACAGTGAACTCACATCTTCAGTTCCAACTCTAAAAATCCCTTTATTAGGTCCAAACATTCAGCATTGATACACATTATCCCCAGGGAATCTATCTGCCTGTCGCAGTGGCAGCAACTCATTTAAATACTAATTGCAATGCAATAGGTAACAAGTAAGAGTTTCTTCTTATCACTTATATCAGTTCTACTTTAATAAATTGAAAATTGAATATCAGGTATACCTTTACAGAGGATGTTAAATATTCTTTCAAGACTGAAGCAAGGTGAATGATAATATGCTGTCTGATTATATAAACATGATTTGTAAATGTGCACATGCATTTAGTGGAACTTAACATCCTAGCAAAAGCAGAGGAGAGAAACTGAGCCAATGCAATTAGGATTTCTTCTTCTTGGGATTTCATCATGATAGTAAACTTGTTCTGATTTGTTATAACGTTAGCAGTTGGAACGCAGGTACATAATTTATAGCTTGAGCAAAGTCTGGTTCCTAAAACCGCACTCCACTACAGTGTCAGATTGCGGTTAATAATATGGAGATTGTTACAAAAGGCAGCCTTATTAGAAAAAAAATGGACCAACTATGAATGTCGGAATAAAGTTATTTACCATTAATGGAATGGGCAAATCGCCGTTTACCACAGGAAAGTCCTTTTTTTTTTCCCAAAACAAACAGTTGTTATCCGTTAAACCTTTCAGCGATAGCGAATAAAACACTATGCGCCAGTTATGTACATATATATGCATCAACGACATATCAAAACATAAGAATCATAAATGGTCCTGCAAATGTAAGATCTTCCAGGATTGACAAAATACAAACAGAAAAAACCGAACTGTAGGAGCCACATACATGTGCCTTTACGAAAATTCCCTGTCGGCTACAAACACTATACATGTAAAGAGACACCATGGGATTTACCCGCCAAAATGGATTTTCCAAGGGAAATAAGCAATTTTCTTATACTAACAATCCGATTGTCTATTCATCTCTGGACTTGAATTCGACCTTTTAGTTAAATCTTGGACATAATAATGAATTAAGTCCAAGGTTAAATTTAAAAAAGTTGATATAGTTTAAGATGACTGGCCATGAAATTAATTCTATGCACAAATTCTCTGGACAGTGGAGTAAATGTCTCGAATAAGCAACGCAGAGACATATGTTCGCAAATATCTAGAGAAAAGTCAAGCTATGGTCCTGGTAAAAGGTTCACAAAAACACAATCGTCAAGACGGTGACCCGCAACAGCAGGCCAACCCAAAATAGGTCACTGGTTTCTCGCTTTTGATTCTGTAAAATGGAAAACCAGGTCAGGAGTGACTTAAAATGGCAGCTCTTCAACCTAGCCTGGATGCAGCAAGCACTAAGGACAGACTCAAGGGGTGGGTAGCTATAGTCACGGGGGGAGCCGGTGGTATAGGCAGTGCATGTGTACGACGATTCTTGAATGACGGAGCACTTAATTGTTGCCTTCTTCGACATCGACCAAGTTGCCGGGAAACAGTTGGAGGCTAAGCTCCAGGCGGCTGGCTTTGAGACGAAATTTTACCAGGTCGACGTTTCTGACAGAGAGGCGTGCTACAAGGCCGTTAGCCACGTAGCTAACCAGTACGGTGGCTGCATCAACTTTCTTGTGAACTGTGCTGCGGCATTTATATTAAAAGGCAAGTTGAAGTTACGGATTGCGGGAAACGATTTCCGACACCCCACGAGCATTTTTTACAAAATCATTTTTACAAAATCATATAAAAAGCACCACCTTTGTTATATATCCCAATATATATATACAGACTTGACATTTAATGTGGAATATTTTCTCCAAACCATAATTAATTAGTTTTTTTCCTATTTTGCTGACTGATACATGAAAATAAGGATTANCAGGGCGTTGATACAGCTAGTAATGACCTACCCACATATTGTCTATGTGGTTCAAATATGGCGATTTTGATGACCAAGGTAACTGCTCATTCCCTTGGTTCTGCAAGTTATCTGCCATTAAAAGTGCTTTGTGTGAACCGGCAATCTCATCGTGCGACCTAAAATTGCTCCTAAGGTGCCCCCTTTCAGATGATGGTTAAGTGGTTTCCAGAGTATTCCTTTATTTAATCTGGTTCAGGTTTCCATTGATGACTCCCATTGGTAGTTTGGCACCAATGTGGTATCCACTCTGAATAGTGACGCTGTCAATGACCCTAGTCACTTAAGAAGTGGCCTCTTCAGGATATCTATAAACTCCGTTTTGACCAGTTTAGCGGTACAGGTGAAATCTGACCTCAATAAAGAAACCCACGCGGTTTCCGTGTTCTACCCAGAAACGGTCATGGTTCCCAATTCATTAGAGAAACAGACTACGCTGTTTTGCTGTTTACAATGGCTTCCTCAGAGGTCGCCTGATATCTTACAGAGCATTCCGTTTGACACAATAATCTGTCTTGCCATATCTGTATTTTTCGAGCCCTTCTGGCACAGGTTATCAATTTTATAAAACACTGCTTAACTCATTTTACGCACTGCAAAACAGACCGCTTGCATGCCAAATTTCGAATTCTTCGATTCAGTAGTTGCCGACATATGGATACTTTTTTTTGACAGAATCATGTTTCATCAAAGGCAAGCTTTGACCAGCCCAGGAGCACTAGCCAATTAAATCATTGCATATTACACAATGCAGCAGTGGTAGCGACACACCTGACTTCATACTTCTCCAGTCAGATATCTTATGTGAGATCTGAGTTTTTTGAAAAAAGAACGCATTTTTACCTAGGTATACCTTTAAAACTGAAATATTCCATATTAAATGCCAAGTCTGTATAAACAGTTAGGACCGTAGCCCCCCCCCCCAACACACACACACACACACACACACACACACACACACACACCAGAGAGAGAGAGAGAGAGTGAGAGGGAGAGAGGGGGGTTACATTACATCAAACACAACATTAAAATATGTATGCTACATTGAGATCATTGACGGAAGGCTGGTCCTGATATCCCTGCTCTCTCTCTCTCTCTCTCTCTCTCTCTCCTCTCGCTTGTCAACATTTAATCAACGTTCGTCTTTGTTCCCCAGCTTTAGATGCCGACACGTCCGACTGGGCACAAGTCATGAGTGTGAATGTGGCTGGATACTCGAATATGGTACAGGCCTGCTTTCCTCACATGAAGACAGGTAAACATATCTCTATTTTATTCTCCATCTCCTCCTCTCCATCTCTTTCTCTCCCTCTCTTTCTCCATCCAATAATACCGGTGTCATGAAACTGAGGGTCCGCCCTCCATATAGTTATAATGGTTAGGGTTAGTCTGACCTAAGTGGGTCAAAATCTAGGGCGAGGCTCACCTGTACAAAGTAATGGGAAGCAGAGTCTTCTGTCATGGGCGACTTTCTGGTACATGGCACCGACCAAGGAGAGCCACTCGCCAACATGGCGGCGGACACCTGTACAAACCCGCACGAAAATGAAGTAGATACTCCTGCGCAGTAGACTACTGCAATCATACTGCAAACATGCTTCAAATATGCTTCGATGTGGGAGCTAATTAGCATATTTGAAACATGCTTCTATCATGCTGCTAATCTACTGCATTAATGCTCCTCCTCTGTACAACCCTATGTAATTTTTGAAGTAGAATTGCAATAGGCTATACTGCATTTCTACTGCAAATATGCTCCACACCACTATACTGCGTTAATGCTTCTTTGCTACTTCGATACTACTGCGTTTTCTTGCGGGAAGTAATGGGAATCGGAGTCTTCTGTCATGGGCGACTTTCTGGTACATGGCACCGGCCAAGGAGAGCCACTCGCCAACATGGCGGCGGACCCGATGATTAACAAATTTTGCTGATTTGTATAGTTGCATCAACGATATTAATTACCTATTTATAAATTTTGCTTATGTACGTTGTGAATGACCATTTCCTGTGTTTGCTTGCGACTGCTTTTTCTTTTTTCCAAGTGCATTGCGCTGTATTAGGGTGTATAACGCACTTTAGGGACGCCCATCTCTTGCCACTCTGTGAAAGTGTGTGCACATGTCTTTGTGTCTCCCCTCTTTTTAAATAACGAGTTCATAAGTGTTTGTTTCATCTGCCTGTGTCTATCCACCTAAACAACAAAACATCAGCAAAATCAGCATCGTAATTAATACCGACTTTCTTTCAAATTCAGTCTTTTCTCCAATTAGAATAAATTTTGTTCATCGGACAAAGTTAAAATGCCAACATGCAATCAATCTCCAAATATTTATCATATTTTGTCAAAATTGAGCAGTTACATTAATATTTCATCAATACTTCACTGATATTTCACCAACACAGCCGAACCTGACGCCAGATCAGTCGTCAATATAGCCAGTATGGTCGGCCACGTGGCATCGGCCAGTAAGTGGACGTACTCGACCAGTAAAGGTGCTGTGCTGGGGCTGACCCGGTGTATGGCACTGGACTTGGCCAAAGATGACATACGGGTGAACTCCGTGTCACCGGGAGCCATAAATACAGCAGCAGTAAGTGTGTGTGTGTGTGTGTGTGTGTGTGTGTGTGTGTGTGAGAGAGAGAGAGAGAGAGAGAGAGGGTATCAGAAGATTCGCTGATATCGACAAATTTGATTGAAGAAATGATGAAAGATTTGAGCTGAAGAGAGAATGTCATGGTTTTAACGCTGATTTTTAAAATCCATATTAAAGGCAGTGCGGAGCAGAAGAAAGAACACTGCCAAAATGCCTTGGAATAAGCCTTGGAATTGTTGCCCACAGTTGACG